ATTTTAACTATTCCAGTACTGCTGCAACCCACTGGGAGTCATTTGAGACAAGTGGCTGCTCACAGAAAATTCAGTGTCTGCAAGATCCAGCCTTGAAGGCAAAACAAGTTTATTCAGCTTCTCTTTCCCAAACTTCTCCAAAAAGAATTATATTAATTTTAACAATTCCTATGACATTAATATTGTGTTTCCCATATAGGAAGGTGATGCAACTCCGTAATTATTGTTCTGGGAAGTTACTAAAGGCTCTGTGTTAATGAGAAAAATCACTATACTTACGGTTGCAGGAGCTGGGGTAGGAGGTGGGGCATAGGATGGCCTTTCTGTTAAGATAGAAATGTAAGCACATTTTTTTTTTTCTTGAAAATTTGAATGAATTCTTAAGGCATCTGCTATGGCAAATAGTTTTAAATGATTTTACAAAACCAAGAAAATTCTACTCTGAAAGACTTTGTGTTTTGTCACTGAACAGCAAAAAGCAACACTAAAAAAAGGAAAGAAAGAAAAATTGAAATCTCCCCATTACTCTTGTCCCAGGCTTTTATTCAAGCACAAGATTGAAGAAAATAAAATTCATTTATATGCACACCAATTACATGGAGAGAAAGCAAAAATGCAGTCCAACAGGATTCAGAAGCTGTGATATGTGGATTTCCTACAAAAACAATACGCCAGGAATCAGCCACAGCAGGATTTAAGGCCAAGAGTTTAGTCACTACACTTGCTAATTTCTTTTAATGCCAGGAATAGTGGCATCATCTCACAAAGAGATTGTGTGGAACCAGATCTGCAAAACATCAAAGGTAAAGAAAGAAAAATCTTAAAAAAAAACTTACTTGACATTTTGATAGTCAAATTTTCAGCCACCTGACATTATATTTGTACTTCTGCAAGACAAAAGAAGATCACGCTAGTAAGTGTTGTGCCTTTCCCCCATCAGATATTCGAAGCTTCGACTGTTAATCGATACCAGTGATTATCAAAGTTTGTCAATTCTGGAATACAGACAAAAGCATTTCAGAAACCAAGTTGTTATCTCTTTGAAAAATTAATGGATTTTCCAAAGAATCTGGCCTTAAATAGCTGTGCAAGAGCACACAGGTTTAGGTCACGTTCATATGAACGGGTCTAAATAAATATATTTTATCCTGTAAGGAATAAAAAGAACATATCCCATTATTTTACACGCATTGTTTCAGAAATCTGCTATTAATACATAAATGACCCAATGATGTATTTCCTTTACAGGGTATATTAAACAACCACCGAGCCCCATAGCTGCGGTCTGACAGGCAAGGCTTAACCTTTTAGCACCGAACCCAGCAGCGCGTCACACAGCGCCGTAACAAAGTGAATTTTCGGTGCTTCTCTTCAAATCACACAAGAAGCGGCTGCAGTCTCCTTCAGAATCCCCACTAACGCCGTGCTCCGGGCCCGCACACGGGGCTGGCTCGGGGAGATCGAGCGGAGCCTGAGCGGGCCTAAGGCGGCCACCGGGGGTTCCCTCGGTCCCACCGCTCCCTCCCCGGTCCCGAGGGCCCTCCCGAGCCCCGCAGCGCTGCTGGAGAGGGGCCGGGGCCGTCCCGAGCCCCCCGGTCAGCCCCGCCGGGCCCTTCGGACTCACCCGCTCGGCGCGGCCGCGCTCCCTTTGTTCCCACGGGCCGGGGCGGCGGCGACGGCGCCTGCGCACTCCGCTCCGCACTTTCGACACGCCGGCCCCGGCCCGCCGGTGACTGCCTGCTTACTACGGAGGGGGCCTGTTCGGCTACCCCGCGCCCCACCGAGGGGCCAGGGCCGTTCCCGCATCCTCCGGGACAGCGACGATTCCAGGGGCCGTGGCGAATCTGCGGGATACAACGCGAGCGCCGCGCGAGGGGCGGCCCCGCCCGCCATTAGCGGCACGGAGGCGCTGCCTCGCGGGGTGTCACAGGGGCTACCGAGGCTCCCAAAACCGCGCTCGTCCCCTTCCCCCGCGCCGGGAACTCCGGTCACGGTGCCCCGAGTGCTGGCTGCCGGTGGCGAATCTGCGGCGCAGAACGGGCGCGCAGGGAGGGCCCGCGGACGCTTCGTGCCCGCTGCGCTTTAGCGCCTTTCCCTCTCACGGGCTGCGCGCGGCCCCTCAGGGGCGTTTGGCGCCTTTTTTCCCTCACGGGCTGTGGGCGGTCCCTGCAGCGCCTCAGTCCCCGGGCTGCTGTGAGGCCACGGAAAACGCTGCGGGGTCGTGTCCGAGCCCGAATAATATCCCATAAAAAGCAGCGATGGAGTCAGGTGAACCGTCCGTCAGTGCTGCCGGGTCCTCGTCTGTGCAGAGTGTGGTGGCGAAAGGGCTGTTTGGGATGGCGGCGCTTGCAGAGGCGGTTGAGTGGAGCAGGATGAGCTCTGAGGGCAGCGGGAGGGTGCCGGTGTGTGGGAGAATGTCAGAGGAAGGGGATGGCGTTAGAGACGGCTGTGAAGGCAGCGAGATGGACCCCGGGTAATAAATATGATAATATATGATAATTGTTAACTAAATCAGCCGGACCAACTCAAAACACTCTGCTGCGGAATCAGACAGGATTATAAATTACCCAGTAGTCTGGGAGCAGTGGAATTGTCCACAGTTCTTTGCAGAAATCAGCAAAGTTATCACACATAGGTAAAACTCTCAGAAATACCAAACCAAGGTGAAGGGTGTGGCTCTGAGGGTGTGAGGAGGATGGCGAGTTCCAGACCTCAGTATTCAGCTTTAAGAGCCTTTTACACTGCAAATTGTCAAGGTGACTGAATTAAATATGAAAACTTTGTCAGTGAAACTTGAAATAGAAAGTTTCATGTTGAGTGTTTGATGTTGAAATTGAATGTTTGGCATTGAAATGCTCTGCCGTGGCCAATAGGATGTATTTCTAGAAATTCATGAGGGAGAATTTGGGTGGATCTGAAGGAAAGCCAAGGGGGATGGTACCTGGCTAACCCAAAAGGATGGTAGAAGGTGAAAAGAAGAAAAAGTAACTGAACATGGGTTGCTGCAAGTTGGGTCCATTTTTCTTAATGCCTGCAGTTCCACTGGCTCAGTTTGTTTTCATGCTTAAATACACTTATTTTTATGAACAAATAAAGAGACAAGAGCTCTGCCCTCATCTGCTTAGATTCTGCTGACTGTACCCACAATGGACATTTGTTGCCATGCAGCAGAATAATCTGTGACTTCAATTTGATATTAAACCAAGAGTTGAAGAGATTCCTCAGCCAGCAAAATACGTCACACTCGTTCACCAGCTTCACTGGGGCAGGAAAAGGTGAAGAAAAGGTGAGAAAATACTTCTAAGAGGTGAAAAAATAACCTGGTTTCCCCCCGCCTTTGACTAGGTTTCCCCTAGTTTCATACATTCGCTTCTAGTTTATTAATAACATGGTTTTGTTGATAATGAAAATTGCATTTAATGTTAAATTAAAAATTGAAATTTTGAAATATTTATTAACTATTTTTAAATTTAACTTTAATTAAAAAATTTTAATTATTTCAAATGTATTTATTTTTAAAACTGAATTGTTTATTGTGGTGTTCAAGTACATTTATGGAAACTCACATTCCACACTAATACTTCTCAATCATTATGTGTTTTCAAAGCCATCAGTGTATTTCTTACTTTGTTTTATTCCCCTTTTTTTCTTTCTATGCTCTTTACCTCGATTCCATCTTGTGACAGTGAAAGGTTTTGCCAGCGTACACTTTTTAATATCCTGTACAATATATGAGTAGTTTTACTGATTTAATGGAATTGTTTATACTGCACCATGCTCACCAGGGGGGATGTAAAAACTGATTCTTACCCAACTGTTTTAATTACCAGCAGTTTCATAAGCTCTGGAATGAGGACAGACATTCACTGGGAAGTAGATTGAGACAATAAAACTTGTTTTTACATCAGCCGTGTGCAGGTGCTGGTTGGCAGAGGCTCAGCTGGTCTGGATTTAATTAGAACCACAGAAATGAAGCATTCTCTGCCACAGTATTAAGCTTCAGTGTTAACTTTTTTTTAAAATTCAGCTTTTTTTTTTTAAATTCAGCTAAAGTGACCTAAAAATGAGGGTGAGGTGTTATTATTTGATGCCCATGTGGAGTTCACCCTGACACTTGTGGAATTTCACTACTTTGTGAACAAAAGAGACTTCTTTGCATTTTGAGAGATGGAATTTGTGAATAATGCAAAAATAGGGACTTACTGAAAGAGGTGAAAATCTTATTTAAAACCAGAATGTCCACTTGAACCAGGCCTAGAGTAGCAGAAGCTACTGAAGTCAGTATCAGGAAGTCACACATGAAGAAAATAGCCAGGGTGACTGGATTTACCAGGAAAAAAGAGTAAGTTTTGTAGCAGAAAGATACACACATGTTATAGTAAAGATTCTGAGGGAATTTGTGTCTTTCTAATTGCAGAGAGGATCTTAGAGAACACTTGTTACAGTGCTACAGATTTTCCTATCTGTAACTTCTTTTTTGCATTTTTCTTTTACTCCTTTCCACTTAAGGAGAAGACATTGACACACAAAAAATATGAATGGACAAACTCCATTTTAATACTTTTTTTTATTGTAGTACTATCATTTACTTTGGTAAATTCGTATCCCTGTTTAAAGTGCCTTAAAGCAATTAAAACTTAGTTTAAATTCAAGTATTGTAAAATGTACAGAGTCTAAGCACAAAAAAAAAGCTGCATAGTGAAAATACTGGAGCAGGCTGATACATTCAGGATGCCAAGTACTCAAGTGGTAACAACATCAGCTCATGATTCAGGTTAAGGATAATTAGCGAGTTTGATACAGTACAGACAGGACAGGGCAATATCAATGCATTGTTCTTACCATGAGCAAAGGATGGAAGCATAAATTAACTCTGAAAGAGTCTGCAGTATCACTTTTGTACACATGCCATAAGTAATAAGGCAGATACTGACACTGAAATCAATCCTTTACATGCTGCTGCAATCCAGCAAATCCTGTGTGTGGATTCTCCAGACTCTGAGCCCCAGCAGTCCCTGTGTTCCAGTGGCACCTGTGACATCCATCCTCTTCAGAATCCTCACAAACAATCATGGCCAGCTTCATACAATCTTGTTTGAGTCTTTGTTTGAAATTTGTCCTGTAAGGTTTTAGAGAAGGATGGCTGTTCCTCTGTGTACCAGTGCAGGGTTTCTGTTGGGGTTTGTGTTTGCCCACAGCTACTTTGGGTAGGAGTGGGTGGTTTTTGAGGGGTCTGGTTGAATTGTACTTGAATTTGTAGCCCTTATATTGCCCAGTCAATTTGAAGTAGTAACAGTTGTACCCTGGTGTAACAGTGACTTGTCACATGGATTAGATCAACAGCATCACTCACCTGTAGTGTTTGGCAGAAGAGGAATTTGTTGAAGATATTTTAATACACATTGTTATTATAAACAAAATTAATGGAATACCAGCATTCAAATGGTTGACTCCTCCCTTTTGAACAATTAGAGAGTAATTTCATTTGCCTTGACTAAAAGACTTGTAGTACAAGGGTGTGTTTGGACACATAAGAAAATGATTGATTTTTCAGGGGAAATTACTGCTTCAAAATCAGTTGAACAATATGGCTAAAATGTTACTGCATGTAACAACACTTTTAAAATGGATGTAAAGACATTTTTGCTCAGTTGTTGCCTGAAAAAAAGGAATTTAAAAATACTAGCCACTTTTAAAAGAAAACTCTTTGTTAATAGTTCATGTATTTAAAGAGTATTTTCGTATGTAATTTTTGCTGTTAGAAAGAATTATTTTAAAATATATTTCTAGAAGTATGACAGCTGTGATATAAATTATTGCAAGGATTCACCAGTCATTATATGAATGGAATATTGAATAATTAAGAGAAGCAAATAGGCATTTCTCATTTTTGGAAAGAGAAAACAAGTTCTCTTTTACAAAGGCAGAATATGTCAAACTATAAATTCTTGTAATATTTGGTGAAATTCTACAAAACAACAACAATGAGAATATGAAAGGGCTGTACCCAGAGTATAAAACCAGTAGAAGTTGGGTTTCTTGGAATTGGAACCCCCTTTCCTTTAAAGGACTTGAATGGTTTGATTGTATTGATCCAAGTGCTGGGTGAGCTGTTGTGGCTGTAGCAGACAGCAGCCCTGGGAGTCCATGTACTGCTTATTTCCAGAGCCCCTTGGGGATGCACTCTGAGGGAATTGGCTGAGTTAAGGTTTGATGGATGGGATGCTGCAGGATCTCCTCATCACCAGCCTGACTTCAATGTCAGGGAGGGTTTTCTTTTTTGTGTGCAAGCACCCTTCCTCTGTGGCTGCCAGGTGGAGATCAAAGCGCAAGGAAACGGACTTTTTCCTTAAGCGAGGGTTGTCCTTAAAGAAAGAACCTTCCCATTCCTTGATCACTTCATCCACTTTTTCTGTCCTGAAACAATAAAGAAAATGGATTTATGATTTTTTAGGCTGTATTAGTTACTTATCTTCAGAACTGTTTTTAAAACAGAGAGAAATGGCATCATAAAGAGTTATTTTATATGTACTGAGATAGCAGTGGTGTCTTTTTTTTTCCAGGTTCATTCTCCAAAGAAGCTAAATAAAGGGTGAGGGTTCATTATGTTCTTGTTTTTGTGCTTTTAGGTAGACATGGCTACGAAACCACTGCTCCAAATACTTTAGGCAGTTTGTTTCCAAGGAGAAAGTTTGGAATCCAAGCTCAAAAATTTTGCAAGAAACCTCAGTACTGTAGTGGGCAGGACAGAATTCCTGCATCTGAAAACCTTCAGAATAGGGAGGAGAAAATCTAGTTTAGGCTCAAACCTCAGAATGTGGAGCTATATTACATTAAAGAGAAAAAAGGGCTGAAGTAAAATAGGCTGATGCAGGAATATTGAGGCACCCAAATCCTGTTGATTCAATGCTCTGTGTGTGTGTCAGAATTCAGATCTGAAAGTTGGGCTCTGGGGCCTCACCCAGCTGAGTACACTGCACCCAGCAGAGTAGCTCTGTGCAGATCTGAGTGTGTGATGAACAAAGCTCCTGCACAAAAATAAATGTCACCTATGGGGTGAGGCTGGTGGACCTTACACTGACATTAATTTGTTTCAGCAGCTGATTGTGGTTCAGTGCTAGGAATGGCCCACTACAGTGTGTTTAAAGGTAACATTAAATTACTCTACAAAAAAGCTTAAAGAGCAGGAGGGAAAAAAAATTGAGTCAATCCAATACTATTAAAAGTAATTTCAGGTGAATAACACATCCTTACAGACTTTGACATGCCTGCTTGGGAGCCAGGCTCTCCCTCTCCTGTTTGGGGAAACGTAGGAGTTTCCAAGGAGCAAGTTGGAGCAGCTGAGCCTAAATTTATGTGCATAAATATGCCCCAGAGGGACTTCCCAAATGTGGTCTGGGCTCTTTGCTTTCAGCCTTAGTGAGATGAATTATTCATAGTTTCATTCTTAACAGAAATAGAAATTACAAATCAGAAGCACCAGCATGGTATTGTTTGCTTATGATGCCAATGTTAATAAAAAGAACTTTTAAATGTAATGTATTGTTAAACACTGCCATTCAGTGCACCTTCAGGAGCTCTCAGTGCTTCTGAAGCTCCTGGGCCATGTGGGCACGATATAACAGAAAATTCAAAGCTGCTGAAACGTAACCTCCACCCTTTCCTTCCAATTGTTATTTTGTGAAATTCCTGTTTATCTTACTGTACAGTGCCATGAGCTTCAGCACTTTCCTTCATGATGTTTCCATCTAGGATTGCTTGTTTTGTCATCAGCTCCACCTTCTTTGGTTTGTGCTTCTTTACATCCTCTGTAAAAGAATATGCAGGTATAAGTGAGCAAGGGTAGTACACAGGACCTGGAGGTATTTCCCATGCATTGGAAAAGGTCCTTTTTTAATATTCAGGAGTTTGTCAGTAATTGTGAACACTTAGGACCGAAATCCCTTAAGGACAAGGTGCCTGAAACAACTCACCTGAAGGCAGCATAAAGGTGATCTTGCTAGTGCTGGGTTTTTTGTCATCCTTCTGGGCAGGTATTGAGCAACGGAACCTGCCAAAAAAACAAAAAAAAAAAAGATTACAGGCATCTAGTAGTATTGAATTACTTTAATTCCTAACTTGTCCTATGAACAGCTGTGATAAATTTAAAAGTGTGAGAATCGTGAGAAGCTCTCTTTGATCGTGGTAACTGTTTGTTGGGATTTCTAATTCTGTGCCTAGAGCTGGAGGAAGTGTCTGACAATATCGGTGCAGTTTCCTGCAGGGGTCTGTCCTGGTGTGAGACAGGGACTCCCTGCCCAGCACTTCACGTGTGTGGGCTGTCCCCATGTGCTGTGACACCTGAGGGGACACAGGATCCCAGTGACCCACAGTGAGGCTGCAGTGACTGAGCTGCTCTCTGCCATGTGTGTGAGACACTGAGCACCAGAAACTCCCCACTCACTGAAGCTACTTTATAATGAAACCTTTTCTAAGATTTTATACTGTATTTTTTTAATATTTAGCTCATGTATTTAAAATTCTGATTATTTGAGACCTTCAGAAATGGAAGACAAATGTGAGATGAGATCTTTTTCTCCAAGCAGCGAGTACCTGCTCTCTTCTTGCTCCAACAGACTGCGATATGTCGCTATCTCCTCCTCCAGCTTCATCCTCGTGTTCAGGAGGATTTCATGCTCTCGAAGCTGTTTCTCAATTCCTCTTCTCACTTCCAACAACTCTTTCTCCAAGCATTCAATCTCACCTTCCAAATTTTGTAGCTGCATGTGGTACTGCTGCTCCGTGGCCCGCAGTGAACGTTCCAAACCCTTTTCCTGTGAAATTGAAGTCATATTTTAAGATTTGGAAAGTTTGTGTGCAAAGATGTTACAGACATACATGGTTTCATTAACAAACTGTATTTTTACATAAGTTCTTGTAAGATTATTCTTTAAGGACAGGAGTCAAAGTATTTCAAGGTAATACTTCGGCTGAGAACTTTTCTAGTAAAATCTGTGGTAATTTAAAATCAGATGAAAGTGTAGCCATGTCTTGCACAGCAATCCACTGCCTTGAGCTTACAGATCTCTGATTTTACAGTTAAACAATGTCCAGCTCAGTGCTGTATGAAGTGTCTGTGTGCTCTTGGAGTTTTTCTGTCCTACTGAATTGAGCAAATGGCTGACATTTTATCACAAATGAATTGATAAATCTCGTCCACACATTAAAAAAAAGTCATAAACATGCTGTGAATTGGTAAGGCAGAATGAGCTGGAGCTTGGTGAGGAGTTATCATGCAAATATATGCTTGAGAGGTGTGAAAACAGGACACCACACGTGTCTGGAGTGGCAGGTCCTGCTCCAGAACATGTGCTGGGTCAGTGTGTGTGAGCGAGGGCTCTGTGAGGAGCTGGAGCCCCCCAGATGAAGGATTTCTGCAGTATGGTGGCTGTGACTGTCACAGGAATTGACTGTGGGATAGTTTACATCAAGGACAAGACTCCTTTTTTCTGTGAGATTTCAAGTTTCATTTCTGACTCTTACCACAGCATGGAGAGACTCGATTTCCACCTGCATGTGGTGCCACTGTCGTCGGGCTTCACACAGTTCTGCTCTGGCTGCCTTTAGTGCTTCTGCATCTTTGTCCATTCTTTTACTGGTACCTTCTTCTAACTACAGGGGATATACAAAAGACAACCATATTAAAAATATTCAAATAACAATAATAAATTGTCACATAAAATAGTCTGGTTGGAATTTTTGTTAAGAATTGTATAAATGTGTGAAAGGTCACAGTGAGGAGTTAATATTTTCTGTACTGTGTAGAGAGAAAGCCTTTATCTCACTGTGTTTGATGGAAATGGTTGGCCACATCTCTATCCCTGGCACCTTTGTCCTAGAGGAATTCTCATACAAATTAAACAATTGTATTGAGACCTTACCTCTGGAGTAAATGGACTTAGAGGAGTTGCAGATGGTTCAAGCTTCCAAGTTTGAATAAGGTGCTTTGATTTTAATGCATTTTTGATTTCAGAGTTTTGGGTTTTTTTCCTTTTATCCTGTTGATAATAGTTTTTTAAAACCACTCCTGATCGTGTGTGAGGTCATTTTAAATTTAGACTTATCTTTGATTTTGATAATATGTTCCTGCATGTAACTTCCAGAATGATTGCTTGGCTTACAGAAGTTATTTTGCTTTTTTGATTCTGAGTTTCTCTGCTAGTGGTGAAGATGCCCTAAGCCTTTGAAACAGCACTTGCTCTTTTACATATTTTGCTGCTTTATGCAGGCCCTTATGATGACATTGACTTTAAGAAAATAATCTCTTTAATTCAAGTCTTATGAACTACGGAAAATAAGGGTTCAGTTCCCCTGTACATACTGACCTATTGCAACTTTACCAGCTGATCATTTTGGTGAAAATCTAGGTTTGTTTCATCCACAAGTGACCCCCCAATGTTCTTTGCTTCCCCTTCCTTGCCTGGGTACTGCAGAATTTATGTGACAGGATCAAACCAATGTGCATTGGCTGCTTTGTGCCAGCACAGAGATAAACTTGGCTTCCCTGTCGGGTGTGCAGCTGCCGTGTGTCTGGCACTGCTGCTGGGTCAGCCAGGCTGCAGCAGCGCCTGGCCTGTCCTTAAAACAAACCTCTGGGATCCCTGCAATACCTGACTACAAGGTGACAGAATTCCTGATTCCCCCCGAATTTCTTTACATTTGGTGGCTCAAAATTGTTTTGCTATTTGATTTCAGCTGGGTTTAGAGCTGCTTGTATGTAAATCCCTAACAGCAGCATTGTGTGTTGGTAACATTTAATCAAGCTGGATGGGAGAATTGATATTTGCTGAAGAGCAAAACAGTTTTTACTGTGAGCAATAGAAAATAGTTCCTGCAAAGGTACAGTGTACTTTAGCAGAGGGCTAAAAATGGCAAAGATTGCTGTATATAAAAGGATGCTCTTCAGGATTCTTTTTTCCTCTGAGATAAGTACATGGAGCTAGAGGTTACCCTGTTACAGCCTATGTCATCATCCCTTAAATCCCAGCAATAGCCCGGCTGCAGGGACAGAAAGCATCCTGATGAATTACACAGCATTCGTTCAGCGTGAATCCATACCCTTGACAAAATCTACTTCCGATTCTTCTAGTTCACATCTTACTGCGGTAAAATCCACGTCCCTTCCCCGAAAATCTGCTGCATTGAAAGGAATTACTGTACCTCATAGAGGCTGCGGGAGGAACTGTACGGCCAGGGAATGGCTCCGTACTCTGCAAGGTGTGTGGCTGTGAGGAGGCATTACCTGCGTCCTTGCTGAGCTGACGGTCTTTATCTGATTTCGGGTGATGAGCGATTCATACTTTGCCCTGATCTCTCGGCGGAGCCGAGCCGGCTCCATCCTCCTCCTCCTCCTCCTCCCATCCTCCCCGGCTCCCGGCTCCGCTGCCGGCGGCGCGGGGCTGCGGCCGCGGGGCCGTTAAAGCGGCAGCGGCCCAATTTGGGGAGTGCAGGGGGCTCAGAGCCTGTCAGCCCGTCCTGGCAGCAGGTTACTGCAGCAAAGGATAGCACTGAAATAACTATTGCTAAATTAAGCGCCTAAATTAATATATCAACGTCTTAATGGTTTTTGTGATGCTGTAACTGTGGGGTTTTATAACCTCAGAAATGTGAGGGTAAGAGAGAGAAAGCAAAGGATAAAGTTGCAGCTGCCCAGCATGAAGTGTTCTGGCAAGAGGACATGGAAAGGCAGAGCTTTCCAGCAGCACAGCTGGGTTGCTGGCAGTGTCACTGGCAGGTGCCTCCACCATTGTTAGGGATGTCACAGAATTTCCAGCCCTGAAGGTAGTTGAGACTCAGTGAGATGAAGCTTCCAGGTCTGACCTGAGCCTCTGTTGAGGACTGTCCCATTTCAGAAACGAGCTGGGCTCCTGGGCATCCTCTTTTGTGGGCAGAAACACCACAAGGAGGGAGAGGAACCAGCACTTCTGGTGGTGAGTAGTGCTGGTGCAACTTGTGGTAAGGGCTTTGGCTCCTCTTCTCCAGAGGGCAAAGTTCTGGTGAATGTACACTTCGGACACATCACTGCTGTCAGGAAAAGGGTCTGGGTTGTCTCTGATGGTGTTTCAGAACCTGTGCCAGGTGTTGGTGCGCTCAATACACACAACACACAAAGTATGTGGGGTTCTTCCCCTTTCCTGGCAGCTCCCAGGCAGGTCCAGCACAGGTTGTCTGGTGTGCTGTGCTTCTTCATTTCCTGCTCACTGGAGCACTGTGTGATCCCAATGCTCTTGTCTGCTAAGAGTGGCTCTTACCTATTTCCTTATACCTCTTGTTTATTTTTTTTTCAGTAGTGGATAATACGAGATATGCATTTAAAAAATTTCAATTTCAATAGAAATTTAAAACTTAGCAAAAAGAGAAATGCATTTTTGGCTCTAAATGAGAATATAAATAAAACAGGCAGTAAACTTTCATAAGACACACATCTTTTTAAAGTCAAAGTATTGTACCACTTAAAAGTCTCCTGCTGTAAAAAGGCTTCCCTGTTCTTGGCTGTGTCTGTTGGCACATGTGAAAGGATCCTGTGTTTGGATTTTCTTTTCTTTAGCTGACTGTCTTCCAGTTGTTGTCCACTCTCTTTTCTAAAAGTGTCTTAATTATCCTTGTTCTGTGTAGTTCTAAATCCAAAATATTGTCAGTGTTTGTCATTGATGGGATGAGAACAGTTACATAAGAAAACAATTAGGAATCCATCAGACAAACACAAGGTATTGCACTTGGGATGGTATAAACTAATGCTTTCTTTTTCTATTTTTTTTCAGGTGTAAAGGGAACACTTGGCTATGAGATTCCTGGAGGCTAAAGGTAGGCAGGTGTAAGCAGTTGCATCTTTCCTAGGACTTATGGAACTTTGAATTCTAGCTGCTTTCAGTGTTCATATTTTATTGCTGGTTCACCACACAGCTGCAGGGGGTCGTGGAGAATAAAGGGAGACTAATACATTAAAGCTTGTGAGTACTTTTTATTAGGGAGGAAAACTGGAAAATTAGATTAGAACAGCAAAATTATTTTATCTATTGATTACTAAAGATTATAAAAAGGCAATTCTGATTAAATGTGTGCTTCATATTTCTGGTTATTGAACAGAGATTTGATGATATTTTTAAAGAGCACAATGAAAATCATACAGGTAAGGCTGATAGAGTGAAGCAGGAAATGTATGTCTGCAAGGAATGAAAGTGCCAACTTTGTCTTATCTAAAAGATTCTGAGTACAAAGCCAAATGTTTTATCACTTCATACAAAAGAATAAAGTTATTTATCCATTTTGGCTGGGAGCAAATGGATTCTTTGCCACATCAGATTGTGCCTCATATCTTCTCTTCAACTTCCTTAACGTGGGATGCAACAACTTTTCCATCTACCACTTCTTCGACAATTGTCTTGATCTTTCTAGTTTTGGTTGGATCTAAACATCATGAACAAAACAAAGAATATTTATCAATGTGTTAAAAATGATAAACCAAAGCAGCACATGACCAGGTACCCCCTTTTCCTTTCCAGCTGGCTTCTGATTTTAATGAACTCTCTGATGTAGTTAAACAGGATAACATGTATTATTTGATTTGTAAGAATGACTTTAGAAACAAAATATTATTCAATCAAGTTCTACCTACCTTGAGAAGAGTCCAGTGATTGTGTTTGAGATTTGGACCCTGTCAGGGATGAGCTTTCAAGTGTAACTGCCTGTCCAGCACCCCTAAAAAGGGAATCAGAGACATCACTATTGCAGGATGTGTGATAGGATCAGGATAAATTCCCTTTTCATGGTGACATTGATAGGTTATATAAATAGTGAGCAGAATGGCTCACTCTCCTCAGTCACACTGATATTTCAGATCACTTTATGTGCCTTATTGTCACTTGGAGAATGTTCCACTTCTTTCACCTCTTTTTTTCCTGGAAAGGATTTTGCTACAGAAAATAAACGCAAGGAGATATTTTGTGTCAAGCAGTTCCTTACACAAACTCTCCATCCAGCAGGCGCCGGTAGGTTTCAATCTCCATTTCCAGACGAGTCTTGATGTCTAGGAGCTGCTGGTACTCCGCGTTCTGGCGCTCCATGTCAGCCCTGACCTGGAAAAGCTGCGACTCCAGGTTCCCGATCTGCATTTGGATTTGTGACAGCTGAGCGCAGTAACCACCTTCCGTTTCTGCTAAAGTGTCTTCCAGGGATTTTTTCTGTGTAAAGATATTAAATAATCTCTGGTTAAGGAAAAGAATCCCTTAACAAAACCAACTGAAGTAGTTTAAGGGAGTGAGCACAGCTACACTACTCAGAAGGTTGTATTTTCTTTTTGAAAACTTTCCCTTGTCACTTCCCTAAATATAATGTAAAACTCATCTGCTTTGTGACATGCTCTTTGCAATCCAGTTAGATATATTGCTGCTATTTAGGAACTAAAAGAATATAGGATTTCATCGGAAAGAAATGCAAATCCTCAATTCTATGGAATAGGATTAGGTCTAAAAAGACTTTTGAAGTTGCTGAATTGGCTCTGAGCAGTCAGCAGCTTCCCAGAACGTACCATGGCGAGCTGAGACTGCAGCTCTATTTCCAAGCTCTGGAGAGTCCTTTTCAAATCTGTGATCTCGCTCTTTCCTGACTGGAGCTGCTCAGTGTGAGTGGAGATTTCCCTTTTCAGCTCCCCACTCTGAAATGACAAGGAAGAATGGGGTATAATTTTACTGTTCCAAGTATTGAACTCATTTTCCCATGCATTTCACTGAGTTTGCTCTCTCTGGTTGTTACTTTTTCATTGAACCACGCCTCGGCCTCTTTACGGTTTTGCTCGGCAATGACTTCGTATTGTCCTCTCATATCATTCAGAAGCTTGGTCAGATCAGTCCCTGGAGCAGCGTCCATTTCCACACTGACTTGGCCAAATTCACTGCTTTGGATGCCCTGAAGCTCCTGGAGACATTGAAAATAAAGAGAAGGTTCTGTTAATAGAAGACAAAATAGTTATACCAAAATATATGTAAAGAAATATACATGATACAAATTCTGTTTCAACAAGGATCTGTAGATTGTTTGTCATACTCTTTCAGCAAACTCAAAAATTAACAGCAAACAGAACCAGGAACTCCCACTGGCTTAAATAAGGGAGTAATTTGATGTTTCACAATTTCATGTATCTTGTTATCAATTCACATAGGAAAAAAATTACCTCTTCATGATTCTTCTTGAGATAAGCCAGTTCTTCATTCAGGCTTTCAATTTGCATCTCCAGATCTGCCCTGGTCATGGTCAGCTCATCCAGGACTCTGCGCAGACCATTGATGTCAGCCTCCACACTCTGCCGAAGAGCCACTTCATTCTCATATCTATGCATAAAGGGATTAAATATTATTTTTTACATGGCTAGTGAAGTCAAATGCAGACTGTTAATGTGTTTTATTTTAGCTTTAATTTGAAAACTTAATACACATAATTATTATAATACTGTTTAATAATTATACTACAAGTATTCTACAAAGAAAGAGATTTTTAGTACAAAAGAATTTTTTCCTTAAGGAGTTTTTATAACATTAAGATATCCTTACTTCAGTCTGAAGTCATCAGCAGCCAGTCTGGCATTATCGACCTGCAGAATGATCCTCGCGTTGTCGATGGTTGCATTGATGATCTAGAGTACAGTGTTCAGAGAATGATGTTACAGCCCAAAGGCTTCATGGCTTTGCAATGGCTTTAAACTTTGTGTTCTACAAGGGTTTGTAGAACTGCATTCCATCACTGCCTTCTCCTGTATTCAGATTAGACAAATCACAGCTACAGAACTGCTTTAATGTACAGGAACAATTCACCACGTCACCAGTGCAAGGTGACAGAGGTCACTGCAAGTGTCAGTACCAAAGGATAAATGTGCTCCTGGTTGCTGAAAGAAATTTGTTATTTTCATTAATGCTGTTAAGTGAGTTACAACTATGAAGATACATTAAATACATTGCTTTGCTACCTTATTTCGAAGATCTTCAATGAGGGGGTAGAATTTACTGTAGTCATTCCCAGATCCAGGGGTGCCAGTGCCAGGGCCATTTTTCTCATACCATTCACGGATTTTGCGCTCCAGCTCAGTGTTGGCATCCTCCAGGGACCTCACTTTGTCCAGATATGCAGCCAGACGGTCGTTGAGGTTCTGCATTGTCTCTTTTTTTGAGCCAGAAAGAATGCCACCATCCCCAGCACCAGCAGGGCCAAACCCACCCCCAAAACCAGTCCCTAAGCCACCACCAAAGCCACTTCCAAAAGCAGCACCTGAACTGCTGCCAAAACCACTTCCCAAAGCTCCCCCAAACCCACTGCCTAAGCCGCCTCCATAGCCACCACCCAAACCACCTCCATAGCTTCCACCAAAGCCACTGCTTAAGCTGCTCCCCAGTCCTGCACCTGAGCTGCCCCCAAAGCCCCCACCAAAGCCAGAGCTTGAACCCAACAGAGAAGCTGCACCAAAGCCTCCACCAGACCCCCCACCATAGCCAAGCCCACTGCCACCAAAGCCTCCTCCACCACCAGAACTGGACATCCTCAGAGATCCCCCTCCGATTCCGCTGCGAGAGGAGAACTGCCGGGACCCGCCGCTCGTGCGCACGGAAAGGGCCATGGTGCTCGAGGTGCCTGGGTCTGCCCCGTGCAGGATACAACAGAGAGCAGAGCAGGAGCAGGGGCAGCTTTATAGGGACAGCAGTGGGTGTTTCAGGAGGAGTCCCCACCTCCTGGGGAGAGCTTTCACTCTCTCTCTCCCTCCTCTTTGGGGGAGATGTCGGTTTAGTATGTTCTGACCAACCGAAATGATATGTGCCAACCAAAATTGCCAATGGGAGTGGAAATCTGGTGCCCTCCAGGTATTTGTATGAGGGGAAATGGGTGGAGTGGAGCTGAGACATCACGATTGTGTTCTGCCATGTGCAATGGAGCATAAAAAGTTCTTTTCGCATTTAAATCCCTCCTAAATAATTGTTTTGTCATTGCAGATGCAGTGCTTCCTGCATTTGGGGCTGTTCTTACAGGAGTTTGCTAAGTCAGCAGAGTGATCCCTTTGATCCCTGCTTCTCAGCCTGTGTGGCCGGAATGTCTTTTCATAATGCTCTTCAGCCAGGAGCCTTTGCTGGATTAGTGCCCCTGGATGCTTAAGAAGTAAGAAAAGTGACCATCAGGTGTCCAAGGGCACATGGATGTTCAGTGAGCTGCAGGGTGATCATTAATATGAAAATATAAATATACCAAATAGGATTTGGAATTGGGTTTGTGCCCTAACCCTTTTCATCACTGAAATACCTCAGTGATATACTTGTAGTCTATAGCATATAGAGTTTGTACTTCAGAGCTGGAACTGACCTTTCTGTGGGCTAAATAGTTTGTTGTTATATCAAAATAAGAAATCTGATTTCTGTATTTGGTGCTTTCTATAATACAAATCTGAAGATCAAATGTAGTGCTTCTGGGTGCAGGTTTGGGCATGGGAACCCTCCCAAGGCAGTATATTTTTCTTTTGAAGTCATTTTGATAAATGGAAAATCGTTTTTCCTTTGTCCTGGCTTACTTATATAATTGGATTTGTCAAGTGAAATGTGTCAATTTTTGATTTATCCGCACTCAGGAGCAAGGGGTTCTTTTGGGGCAGAAAAGAGCGGAAGATCAAAGGTGTAAGTAAAGCATTTGTGTGGAAATGAGCTGATAGCCTGGTCTCAGTGACTCGGGGCAGTGAAAGCAGAGGATTAGTTCTTTGGCAGCTGTTTATGTACAGTACATAGCTCTGGACAGGTGAGGTTTCATAGGGAAGAGCTTTGTGTGTTTATGTTCTCAAGAGGAAAATGTAAACTCCTGGGACTGAGAATCCAGGTGTGGCACAGGGGCCTCCCTATGGGACACAGAACATTATTGGCACAGGAAGGTTTGAGAGAGAGGGAGATAATTTGAAATATATTTTTATCCATAAAATATCTTAGCTTGCCATAGTCCCTGGTGACATAGTCATTCACAGAATGTGAAAAATATCAAGTAGGCTTCTTCATTTTATTTTTTCACATTAATATATTATGAAAAGCAAACTGACACTTCTTATGTATTTGAAAATCAGGTGTTAATGAAGTGAAGCTGCTTTATGTTTGAGTGGGAGTTCACATTCAGAAAAGGCGTGCTGAACTGATGCCTTAATGCATTTTAAAAACCTAATACTTCCATTTTTATCTGTGTTGGAAGCAATTATACATTCATACCAGGCTGATTTCATTTTTTTCCATCAAGGTACTTAGTCACTATAGAAGTAAACCTAAAGTCTTCTATGTTGTGACTTACAGATTTTTATTAATGCTCCCCCACAAAAACAACAACAACAACAGATTTGAGATTTTGGCATTTTTTAATCCATCTGGGGTTAAGAGTGAATTAGATCAGATTCTTTATAACCCTTTTCATTTTGGCATCAGCTCCATGGAACTCAGAGGCATCTTTTCTGCTGGTGCCATTTACATCTTCTCTTCAACCTCTCTGACCTCAGAGGATACAATCTTGCCATCAACCACCTCTTCAACTATTGTCTTGATCTTCTTAAACTTACTTGATTCTGTTAAGGAAATTGAAAAGAGAAATAATTTAATGCAATGTACACTGACAGAGTAATATTGCTGCTACATGAGGAAATATCAAAAAGCATCTTCAACACACAGGTCCTTGAGGTAACTTTTGCAATGTGTGGGGTGTGGCTTCTCTTTTGGATACTGAGTATGTTGCCCATAGACTGCATACTGGATTCAATAACTCTCTAGCACTCTTGATAATTTTGCTTCAGTTTAGCACAGACTTGTAGACCTAAAACCTTGGAGTGGACTTACACCAAATTGGAAATTTTTGCTATGAAACTAGATATGTTACTTGGAAGTATCAGTCTCCCTGTGCAGCTAGCAGGGAGAAGCAGATGCTTCTGCAGTTCTCCAGAGGGGAATTCAGTAACTCTCTGTGGTTCTCTTGGCTCTGAGGACTCACAGAATCATAGAATGGGTAAGATGAGTCTGATTTTATACTGGGCACCTGAATTGTATGTATAAACCCAGGTTTGTATAGTCCTGATAGGATGACCAAACAGTTGATTGTTTTCTTGATGTGAGATTCTACTGGCTGATTATTTGCTCTGAATCTGCTGTTTTATATCAGGCTTCTTCATTCCATAACATTTCAACAGGCCACCATCAAAACAGAAAGAAGTTGGTGGGACATACCTTTTTCAGTCACCTCTACTGTTGGCATCTCTTCTAAATACCTGTTCAAATTGTAAATTAGAAAATGTAAATATATGGCAACTCATGTATTGAACATCCTTGTGCATTTCCTGTGTGTTTGATCAGGGCAGCTAATCCCCTTTCATCAAGACATTGAATCAGAAGATAACTCAGTAAAACGAGTTCTCTCAGTTGAAGTGAAACTTGCTAAGCATAAGCTGTAGGTACAGTTAATCTGCAGACTGATCTCTGCAATGCCAGGTACACTCCTTCTAGTTCCTGAGCCAGAACAGCTGAACAGGTAGAATCTGGGGGGAAGTTCCACTTTCTGCTTAACCCACACAGACAAGCTGATCAAAAACTGCATTACAGTTGTTCTGGCATGTGAACATGTACCCAACTCCCCAGCTCACAGTGACCATCTGTAGGCTGGAAGAGCCACCTTAAAATTCCACAGCAGCTTCATTAGCCCAGCCTGAACAGCAGCCTGCTCTGATTGTGTGGCTGAGAACTGGACAATGGACTTCCCCACCTCAAAGCAGTTGGAGGGAGGCAGATTTGACACAAAACCCAAACCAACACACAAAGCCACGTGTGTGCTCACCCGGTTTCCTCTCCCTCCAGCAGCCTGCGGTACGTGGCAATCTCCATCTCTAGGCGAGTCTTGACGTCCAGCAGGATGCTGTATTCATTGTTCTGAGCCTCCATGTCAACTCGGACCTGCCTCAGCTGAGCCTCCAGATTGGAAATTGCTCCTTGTATCTGGTCAAGCTGGTGACTGTACCGTGCTTCTGTTTCAGCCAGAGAGGCTTCCAGGGTCTGTTTCTGTAGTGCATGGCAAGAACAGTGACACATTATTCAGAGGATACATTTTTCTGTTAAAATAACCTTTTGATTGTAAAACCCCTCATTCCTCTATTTATCTTTTAATCCTCTGTTTATTACACCTCTGTGTAACTCTCTGCTATCCACAGTCCTTATTTTGCTTTTTGTAATTTACCATGTTCAGCAGGGACTGTAATTCGAGCTCCAGGTTCTGGCAGATCTGTCTCCGTTCTGTGATCTCTTTCCTTTGCACCTCCAGCCGCTCAACATTGAGGGCAACTTCCTGGTTCAGTTCTGCTGTCTGGAATGGAGAATGGAGAGACTGTGAACTGCAGCCAGGCATGACTGAGATTCTTACTGGTGTTTAAGCAGTTGACTTTACCTGCTTTTCAAAATGTTCTTTGGCTTCTTGGCGGTTCTTTTCTGCCATTTCTTCATATTGCTTTCTCATGTTTTCCATGATAGCTGCGAGGTCAATGCCGGGAGCGGCATCCACCGCCACGTTCACAGAGCCGCTGGCCTCTTTGCGCAGCCTGTCACGTTCCTGCAGCAAGGGGAACTGTGTTAGCACCAGCTGCAGGGAGCTGTCACTCCTGGGCATGGGACACAAACTCAGCATCCACACACATAGGGCTAATCCTCAGTAGTACCTTGGGGCAAGGCAACTTAATCACCTTGTAAATACTGTTTAGTGCACCTCATCTTAGAATAGTTCACCTACTTGGTAGCAATAAATGTTATAGATAAATGTATCATAAAAATTATTTCCTCAGAACCGGATCTGTGGAATGAGTGAGAAGTCATGGCTCCCATTTGTGTACTTTTGGGATGGCAATTCCTGAACCATAAATTTTCTTAGAGAAAACCTTTACTCCTTCATTCCTGGAATGAAGGAGTGTTCAGCCTTTGATCCCTGACAGCTTGCATGTCCCTTAGGGTCACACAGGGTTATGCTGCTTCCAGGAAGGACAGAAATGCTTCCTAGTGAGGTTGTTTGCCACTCAAAACCCCTCTCCATGGCAGTGATCTGCTGTTCTCACCTCTTCATGGTTCTTCCTAAGGAAAACAAGTTCCTCAGTTATGTTCTCAATCTGGGACTCCAGGTCAGCTTGGGTCAGGGTCAGGTCGTCACGGACATGGAGCAGTCCAGTGATGTCGCTCTCCACACTCTGCCTGAGCAGGTGTTCATTCTCAAACCTATACAATACAGTGCCTTTTGTCATCATTGGAATGCAAAGTTTGGAGTAAATGTTAGAATCAGTAACTACCACAGTCAGTGTGAAATTTTCATTTAAGTTGGAAAATGTTCACTTCTTGGCAGTGATTCCAGTAAGTGGAAGCTTTCCTAAATAAGAGGAGCATGATA